CCACCATGCAGGGGACATACACTTGGAAGGATGAAAATGGCAGGATGGTGACTGCAACTGCACAATGGATGCCCCACCCTTTTTTATGTCCATCACGTGTGCAATTTTTTTTCTTTTTGTGGGGGGGTGCCTTCAAGTCACTCTTGACTCCAGGTGACTGCTTGGATTAGTCCCTGCAATTTTCTTGGCAAGATTTTTGGAAGTGGTTTGCCTTTGCTTCTTCTTCCTAGGGCTGAGAGAGAGGGACTGGCCCAAGGTCACCCAGCTGGCTTTGTGCCTCAGGAGGGACTAGAGCTCAGGGTCTCTGGATTTCTAGCCTGTGCCTTAACCACTACGCCAAACTGGCTCTCCATGTGTGTGATGCACATCAAAAAGAGAATGGGACTTTGATCACATGATCTTGAACGCTGTCTTGGCCCCTGCACCATACATTTACAGTTAAGAACGTAAACTGGAGCAATTTATGTATTTTTATGTTTAACCATTAGACTATTGTTTTTGCACCATACAGATACTATAAATGCTCCAGCTATGCTTTCTTAACTGGAGCACTAACAGGATTTTCCAAGAATTAAAGCAATAATATTTATTGCTTGGAAAATCCAGTGGGTAGTCACGACTTCTGTGTGGAGTATTGTTTTATGCATGTGCCGGTCACATCTTAATGGTGCTAGGATCAGCTCCAGGCAGCTAGATGCACAACTCTTGGTCAAAAATTGGTGGAGCAAATCCCCATTGTAGGTGATTTATGAACATGTATATCCATGAATGGAGATTAATTTGCTGGACATTTGCAAAGTACTGCAGACATTTCAGGGTGTCACTATTCAAGACAATGAGGATAAGACAGGAAATAAAGAAGAAAACCTGTGAGTATGATCAACCATCTAGAAAGCAAATACCAGAGGAAGGGGTGCTGTGTTGCCTAAGGAAGACATCTGGAAATGAAATAAGTGGAACAATACTTTATGATTTGTTTGTTTGCTTAATCCATTTTATATGCCTTCCAAGACTATATTCTTCCAAGGCAGATTACAGAGGAACACAAAATGCTGGTTTGACTGTAGAGAATAAAGCAAGAAGCTGGAAAAGAACAAGTATATTCTAGTGAAAAACCAGTTCTCCAATTGTACTAGCAATCTTGGACGAGAGTATAAAAATTTAGCTTTGAAAGTATACATTGATCAAAGAATCTTAAAAATCAGGATCACATGCTGTGCCAGTTAATGACCTTGCTGCCACCCCAGGAAATAGGATTGCTCTTTCCTCTTTGGTAAAGCCAACAGCCAACTCTTTTCCATCTCTTTGCCCCAATATACTTCTCGGTCTTACTTTTGCCTCATTCTCTTATCGCCATTATCATAAAATTACAGAGTTGGAAGCATCTGACTCCATGGCCCAAGATGATTTTGCATTTTATTTCTGACCTCTGAAATATTACCTCTCTGACTTAATTGTGTATCGTTTGCAAACTTGATAAGACTCCCTCCAGCTCCTCATCCATGTCGTGAATGAAATGAAAAAGAATACTGGGTCTGGGATTGAACCTCATCTAAGTCCACTGGATACCTCATTCCAGATTGTTAAGAAACTTTCATGAGCTATTTTTTATTAGGACTAGATGCACCTGCTAGATATATCATCCAGCCCATATTTATACTGTATACTGCTCTGAAATGCCTCTGTACACTCATATTTTAATGCAGTTGGCAGCAGGGGAAGGCTGAGCATAGCTCTTTGGGGGGAGAATGAATCATACGCATTTTGATAGGTCCCAAGGGGTCTTCAGGAGCTGTAGATCACCCATCCTGCTATGGATGTCGCAGGTTCTGAGATACCGACTGTTTTTCCATATCGTATAGACTGGACATAGCTGATTAATTTATTATTTTCTAGTCCTTAATCTCCATCCTCTTTACTCTTTTCCTGTAGGCATGACAAAATCAAGAGGAAAGACCCAAAATGCATTTTTGCATGGGAAGAGATGACTGGGGAAGTTAGATTCAGCGCTTATTTGCCAAATCCAAACAGCTTGTGCAGGTAACATTCATTCTACTCTTTTCTCCTTAATTGGTAGAATTCTTCACTGCACTAAATCTTCATTCATTCATTCATTCATTCATTCATTCATTCATTCATTTATGGGAACAAAAGAAAACACTCTCCCTCACCAAAGGCCTGGGCAAAGAGCCAGGTCTTCAAGGCCCTTCAAAACACCAGCAGGTTGGGGGCCATTTGGATCTGGGGGAGAACCTCATTCCAGAGAGTAGAGCTACAGAGAAAGTGGCTTCCAGGGTCCTGATAGATGGCATTGTTTAATCAAAGGAACCTGGAGCACACCAATCCTGATGGATCAAATTGGCGAGGCAGATATTATGAGAGACTGGTGGTCCTTCAAGTAACCAGGCCCTATGCCATGTAGTGTGGCATGATGGTAGTACAGGTAGTCCTCACATAACAACCACAATAGGGACCAGAAGATTGGTTGTTAATCGGGGCGGTTGTTAAGCAAGTCACCACATGACCAGACCCAATTTTACGACCATTTTTACAACAGTCATAAAGTGAATTGCCATGGCCTTTAAGTGAATCCAGCTTCCCCAATGGATGTTTTTTGCTGGAAACTGGCAAAAAAGGTCACAGGTCGCAATCACGTGACCGCAGCAACTGGTTGTAAATATGAGCCAGTTGCCAAGTGCCCAAATTGCAATCACATGATTGCCGGGATGGTGTGATGGTTTGCAACAGTCATAAGTGCAAATACAAGTCATAAAGCACTTTTACTGAGGTCGTTGTAACTTTGAACCATTGTTAAACAGTCGTTAAGCAAGGACTACCTATATGTCTTAACATGGTAAACAAAGCAAGCAAGATAGAATATCAACTTTAAAGTAAGAGAAGTGAATTCTAACGGCCAAAAACTTATTTAGTTTTGCTTCTTTCCATTTTGTGGTAAGGTTCTACTAATGGGATAGAACAATTTTTTAACCAGAGGTCTGCATTTTTTCACATGTGGGCGGGACTGAAGTGTAAAAAAGGTGGAGCCAAAACTGCATTCATACAAAACCTGGCCACAATCATTAATGCCCCAGCATGACATATCCCACCAGAATCCCCAATTTTCCCAGACCCTTCTCACCTTCCCTGCTGCCACCACCTGTGTCCCAATGTAGGATGCCCCACTGACCTGCTCACCCCTGATCTTCTTGATGTATCTCTGCCTCCACTCAGCCACTGAAGTCTGTGGCTTTTCTCCACTCCTTTTATTTCTTCTTGGAGCAAAATATATCCTTTTTGTGCTGTGCATGGACCCAAATACCCACATATGTCCAAAACTAACTGTTTTGTGCCCAGAACATTTTGGAGGTCCTTAATCCCAACACATCCGCGACATCTGAGATCACAGAGAATTTTTGGGCATCTGTCAGGGTTCAGTCCAAAGCTTCTATATCAAGGAAGAGGCAGAGATAACCCTGGAAATGTAAAAGCATCTCCAAAGCAAATGTAATAATAAATAAAAATAAAGTAAAAAAACATGCTTCATAAAATTAGTTTATTTTTAAGTATCCTCTAAGGCAGTGTTTTGCCCCAAACTTCATAACACCAACTTTATAATTGTAACAATTTTCTCCATCACCACACTCCTGA